GGGTGGGGATGCCTTTCCCCCCGGGGCCCCTGGGGCTCCTTTAAGGGCTCCTGGGTAAATTTAAAGGGGCCGCGCGTTATTTCTGCAGCCGCGGCGGGGGCGGGGGAGCGGAGGGCGGGGGGCGTCGCTCCCCCACCCCGAAAGAGCGCCCGTCGCCCCCCTCGCTGTGCCGCTCCCCGGCCGCCCGCAGAGCCTGGCTTAGGACGTGGTCCGGGACCCGCCCGCCGCGCGATCGGGTCATTTTAGGCAGGGCTTTTGGGGGGGGGGGGTGCGCTCTCTGCAGGCAACCTTCTCCGACCTGGTGCCCTCCAGATGTTTTGGTCTCCAGCGTCCATCAGCCCCAGCCAGCATGGCTAAGGGCCAGGAATTCTGGGAGTGGTAGTCCACAGCATCTGCCTCGGCCATGTGCCTGTCTTCACCGGCCCTTTAGATGCAGTAAGCCAGTCCTACCTGTGGCCCCCTCTCCCGCCGCTCCTTCGGCCCAGTGGGGCCCACACCCTTGGCCCCAAGGCCTGCCCTGATGGGGGCCATGATGGGACACAGTATCTGAGGTTCCATCTCTGCCTTTCCCCCTCTCGCAGCTGCCAAAAGCATGGGAACAGGCAGAGAGAGCAAGAGAGAGTGTCAACTCTTGAACGTCTGCAGTCGCAGTACTTTCATCATTAGGTTTATCCACCCAAATGGAGTCTGATGTTGCCAACTGGCCAGAAATGTCAGTGCTGCCCTGTTCTCATTGTCTTGGCGGCAATTTGATCTGCGGTCATCCATGGTGACACAGATCTTTCACCGGTGATCTTTCACCGCTCAGATCACTGGATTGTCTGCCAATTAAGCTCTCATGGAAGGCACAAGAATAGCACTTGACAGCAACCTTCATGTGGCTCCCTGGAATCCAGAGCAAGGGCTGAAATGAGCTAACAATCAACACACCCAAGAGGCCCTTATTAATTTGGCGGGACTTGACCCAAACTTGTTTTGGGGAGCAATTGCACGGCTGTTTTATGTATGTAGGAAGCAGCCCCACCTAGGCCAGGATTTCAGGTAGATTTTCCTGCCCTACCTGGAGAGTGATGGGGATTGAACCTGGTGCTGTCTCCATGAAGCAGACGCTCTACCACTATGTTATAACTGTTCTGCTAAAAAAGGAAGAATGATTCTAGTCCTCATGGTTCTAATAAAGATGAGCTGATCTAAACAGGATAGGATGCTGGCTTACACCAACTACCAGTCCTACAAGAATTGCAGGACCACTATATAAACTTCAAAACGTTTATTTGATTATTAAAAAATATCCTGTGCAAACACTGAACAATCTGGAAGTTAACAAAAACGATATTTACAAAATTGCAACCCATCTTTCTGTTCCAGGATGAAACAAAGCAGTGTATATTGCTGTGGATCATTCAAAACCATCACACGGAACCATCTCCATTTAAAAGCAGCTTTAAACATTGGTAAGTAAAAGCAGCGATGGGGTCGCGATGGTTTGGACATGACTTCGCGACTAACAACAAAGTAAAAGCAGCAAACCTGAACCAAAGGCAGCAACATTCGAAGCAAAAGCCAGGAATTGATTCTGTCAAGAATAAAAGATGTACAGAGCATTAGAACTCTTGAGTACTCCTAGCAAAAGCTTGTTGAAAACATAAATGTGTGTCAATGGTTCTTTCAGAGGTATTCAGATTTGTCCTGGTGCTGGTCGCATACATTGGTGGTTAGCTCTAATTGTGCAGAAAGCACGAACATGGAACACTGCCAGATCTTGTTTTTGGATGCAGTGTAAATTCTGCTTCCTCTGCCAGACACACACACATATACTGGAACACCAGTGGAACGCTCCGTGGATCAGATGTGCCATTTCTGGTGATCTGTCGGAGTGGGCATACGAGAAAAGGATCGGAGAACGCCTGAGCACCATCTCGCCTCGTGGTGGTCGTCCAGCTCCGACTCCCAGAACCCTACTGCAATCCCACGCCTCTGGAGGTCACCAAGAGCGCAGAGGCGCTGCAGGGAGTCGGATGGAGCATCTTTCTTGTGGGGATCACCCTGCATGTCAAAAGCAGGCAGGAAAACTTGGGGCTTTGCCTCCTGCTTTCCAGTTTTTAGGCCCATGTGTGCCAACAGTGGGATGCCAGACGCGTATTTAAGTGGAGGGAGCTGCCTGACCCCTAGTGAGGTTGCTTGTCTGCCCAGCCCCCCGTTGCCCAAAACGGGGTGGGACACACGTATGTCTGAACTGCGTTCTTTGCAGGAGGGGGTGTTACAGGCTGGCTGGAGGGCCACATACCGGCAGCAGTCCAACCTGAGCCAAAGCTGGGTGGGCTCATCCCTTTCTTCTCCCTCTGTCCAGTATTGCCTTCCCTCTCTGTTTCTGCTGCCCCCTTTTCTTTCTCTCACACCTGTTCCTGGCCACCCCTTTCTCTCTCTGACTCTCCCCTCTTTTTCCTCCCCATTCACCATCTTGTAAGGATTTGAGTCTCAAGGACAGGATCTTTCTCTCATGTCCCCCAGAAAGGATATTCTACAGAGCGAAAAGGTACATTGAAGTGAAAGCCAATAGATAAAGCAATCGAAAAACCTTCCTGGTTGGGAAATTTAATTTTAGGCCAACGGGGAGTGGCAGGGAGGAAAGACCTAAAGTAAGAGGGCGTCATTGTGTTTGACAGTACCATGTATACCATGAAGAACATGTGTATCAAGATACATTATTTTTCTTCTTGTCCTACAAAACTAGATCTAAGGGCTTTGCAGGAAAACAACCAAGTTGGCAGAAGATTCTGAACAGATCAAAAGGAAGGCCTTCACGTTAACGGGTACAACAGATCAATGGGATCTGGCTGCAAGATATAGTTTGACACGCATGAAAAGAAACGAAACAAATCCAGGAACAACGGCTGTTACTCAGGACTGCTTAATGGAACCTCCAGGATCAGGAGCATGTGATCCAGAGATGCTGTTAGATTTTTCCCCAGCCCTACTGGGAGATGCCAAGGGTCAAACTGCATGAAAAGCAGGTGCTCTGCCCCTAAGCTAAGACCCTTTCCCAGGCAGGCAGACATGAAATAAAAAGTAAGGCAGAAGTCGAGCCTTCTCCAGCCTGGCATCCCTGGATGGGTGCTCTGGTCCAACACTTCTGGAAGGCACCACTTGGGAAGGGAGGCTTTCATAAGTTTTGTGCATTTCGTACAACAACAAAAGTCCTGGGAGGGTTTTTTGGAAGCACGATATTGGGGGCTTTGGCCTTCCAGTTGATCTCTGATGCGTTTTTCTAAAAACTGAGCGCCGAACCCGGGATTTTTCTGCATGCGGAGCACATGCGCCAGAAGGACGGCCCTCTCCCCGCACAAACAGAGGCGTCCTCCCCATCGCAAGCTGCAGCCGCCCCCGGTTTCACCGCAGAGCCCCGCTCCGTCCTTGCAACGCTGCCCCCCCGCCCCCCGTGGGTGGCCACCGTTTTGAGCCTCGCTTGCCGCGCTCCAGCTCGGATTGGTCCCCGAGCCTGTCAGGGGGCGGGCCAAGCGCCAATGCGGGGCCGCCTATTGGCTCGCTGAATAGACGCGTGAACAGAGATTAAAAAAAACTTTGCAGAGGGGCCGAGGTGAGCACGACATCTTAAGACCCTCCGGTGTGAAACGGAATCGTGCTTTCTACCCCGCCCTCGTCTCATTTTCGGAACAGCAATTTAGGCCTCTATGGTACAGGAGGGGCGTAGAGTGGCACCGCCGTCTCTCCCTCAGCGGAAGTTGTGCCTGTCTCCGAGAGAGGATGCGGGAGGGAAAGGACCTTCGGACAATGAAACCATAGAGCGGGGCGGAGCAGAGCGGCCCCCGCCTGAGGCGGCCGCTCTGGCTCCCTGGGAGCCGGGGGCTCTATGGTGCGTGGAGGGGGCTCCAGCCGCAGAGCGAGGCGGCTTCGTGGCCAGGTGGGAGGCCTCGGTAGGTACGGGCGGCTTCTGCTTTGAGGGGGGCAGGGGAGGGCCCCCCACGCCTTCCTGGGCGGGCCTGGGAGGCGGACCCCCGGTCTGGGCTGGGGAAGGGGCTGCTATTTCCACCCCCACGCACTCGTAGCTGGGTTAGGGGAGACCCGAGGACACCCCCTTACATTCCCACCCCCACTGAGCGCGGGGGAAGGGGCCCTCCCCCAATTCGCTGTAGCCCCCCCCGCCTGGCCCCCACTTGCCTACCAACGCGTGTCCGGGGTGGGGGAGGGGCTGCTGGTCGCCCCCACCCCGAGACACGCAGACGCTCCTGTTTGGGGAGCCTGCTGTGTCCCCCAGCCCCCGGCCCAGTGCGGGGTGGCGGGGGGCGCGCTTCATGCATGCGCACGTGTGTGCCTGGGGGGGGGGGTTGGCGCCTTTTCCCGCACATGCCCCTGAGGGGGGGGAGGGGCTGGCCAAAATCCCGCTGGGAGGCTTCATGGGCTGTGGGGGGGAGGGGGAGTCCGTGTTTGGAGGGGGGCTGGAGGAGGGCAGGCCCCCTGGCAGGAGCTGAAAGCCATGGGGAGGGAGCGGGGATGGACCTGTGGCATGCGGGGGCTGGCGTGTGGGGACGGGGCAGGAGTGGAAACGGGCCCCATGGAGGATGGAGGGGGGCTGCCTGCCTGCCAGCCCCAGCCCCAGCCCCAGCCGGGGACCCTCAGGGCGGGCAGGGGAAGGGGGCTTGGTGGCGGGGGGGGGGGAAGCTCTCGCTGAGCCCCGGGGGGTGAGAGCTGGCGCAAGCCTGGCGAAGCAGTGGGGCCCGTGGGCCGCGGTCCCCTGGGGCGAGGAGGGGCGAGGAGGGCCTCGGGAAAGGGGGCGGGCGGCGGGCTGGGGCAGAACCAGGAAGGAGCCCCGAGGGCGCACGGCGAGGAAGCAGCCGCTGGAGGAGGCAAGAAGGGGGCGGTGGGCGCCAGAAAGGGCGGTCCGGCTGCTCTGCCAGGGGGGCTTGAGATCAGGGCACCTGGAGGACCTGCGACGTGAAGGAAGCACTATATTATTTGGAGGTTTGGGGCCTTGATGCCTGGAGGGGGGGGGAGTACTTTTGGGGAGGTGTGGGCCAGACTCCTGTGGGGAGGAGGAATTCAGTGGGGCACAGAGGCTGGGATTTCTTGGGAGGTGCATGAGACGCAAAGAACTTTGCAAACTGAGGAAGGAAAGGTATCTTGTAGCGAAGGGATGGAAGTCAACAGTGAAAGCAAGCAGGGTAATATCTTTCCAGACTAGAAAACAGAGTGAGGAATAACTCCTTAAAAAACTTGCAGCTGCTGAACAGAATGCATTTCAGGTATAATGGAAATGTGGAAATGCACGTGTGAAATTCTTCTTTCCTCAATGAAAATGCTAATTTCCCCTCAAGTTCTCCTCTTGCTTTTCTCCAGGGCGGCAAGACTCCCATCTCGAATGAACTTGTTTTGTCTGGCTCCTGGTGATGTAAGTCATTTTGCTACCCTTTGCTCCTTTGTCTAGTCAGCACCAAGTGGATTCCAGCACCTCAGACTTTCCCCCAGAGCCCCACACCAGGTTAGAAAACACTTGAATTAATGTAATGTTCATTGCCCAACTTGCCATGGAGTTCCTTTTACGGTGTAACTGTTCCAAGGGATACACAGAGGAACAGGGTGAAAAGTGTTTGCTTTGAAATCAGCTATGTTTCTAATTCTGAGGCTGGCTGAGGGTAGTTGTTTAAACACAGGTTGCCAGTTTGTTTGCTTGTTTAGAAGTATCCTGAGTAAGAAAACGAAGCAAAAAACAAAAAACAAAGCAGTTCCTCCTGGTTTTTTGAGTTTGTCCTGCACAAAAGGGGTGAGGGGCAGGTATCCTAGTCCTCCTTCCCCAACCTAAATTCCAGCTCATTGGCAAACGTGGCCCCAGCACGCTTTCAAGGCTAGCTTTTTTAATGTGCAGGGCACGGCAAAATACAATATTACACAGTAAAGTCTCCAGTCTCCCCCATTGGATCCCGAGCACCGCTGCCTGTATCCTGGTTCCCATGGTATTATTTATTATTTATTTATTAAAACATTTTTATGCCACCCCATTCGCGGAAGCATCGGGGCGGCTTACAACACTAAGGTATGAATGCCCAGAGGCCTTTGTGACCCTTTAGAGTGCAGAGATGTGGAAACCAAATGGGGGGAGTTAAAACTTCAGTGGTCTTCAGTGTTCTTCTATAGCTTGCTCAGAAACTACATTTCAAAATGACTTTGTGCAACAGCCTAGATTTCCTTACTCCCCGTCTTCTCGTTTCCTCTTTTTTTGCACTGGCTCTGGGCCAGCCTTCCCCAGCCTGGAGGGGGCTGCAACTCCCATGGTGTTCAGCCACTGATGGGAAGAGAAGCCCCGTGCATCTGAAAGTGTTTGGGGGTGGCTGGTCTATCCAATGACAAGCTATTGTCCCATTTCACAACAGCCGATCTTTGGAGGGCGTTGGCCGAAAGTCCGCTTGTGTCGAATGGGCCAGTGCCGAACAACACCCCTTTATTGGTGGAGCGTGCTTTTGATATTGAGCAAGCCAGGTTCTGGGTGTGTTGAATGCCCGTGTGCTTGCATCAAAACGGGCAGGAGACCCCATCTTAGCAGATCAGAGTTTCAGCTCCTCGGCCAAGTGTGCTCCTCTGGACTCTCTTCTTCCTCGTGTGCTGGAGTGCACATGTTTCCCACACGCATGTGGAGCATGTGATTTGCTTGCAGAAGTCCTCTGGTCCTGAAGTTCCCTGTTGAAGGAGAATGTGACGAGACAGAGCCTTTTCCTAAAATGTGCATGTGGGTTTTCTCCTGGCCCGGCAAATAGAAGCGAGTAAAAGTGTAGCTAAACACCGGTGATTTTCCCCCAGCCTGGCTTTGGTGTGTCCCTGCTGCCTCTCGGAAGTTGCCCATGGCTTTGAAGGCAGAATCGCCCCTGGTGGACTACATCGAAGTCTCTTCCTCCGTTCTGCGCTTCAAGGAGAAAGAGGAAGCTGCTGCAGATCCCCCGTTGCCCAGCCGTACCCTGGTCAAGCAGGATGGGGGCCCTACAGACGCCGTGAGCAGAGGTACGGAGTGTGTCACAGCTGCACTCGGGAACGCCAGGGTCAGGCCTGGGCAGAAGTGGGATGGGTGACTTGAGTGTATGATTCTATGATTATTGCTGTCAACTGCCTAGAGAGCTTTGGCTATGGGCAGTATAAAAATGTAATAATAATAATAGTAATAATAATAATAATAATAACGCTTGAATGCTGTTGACAGATTTTGGAGGGTCAGTGACAGGCTGGGGCGACCATCAGTCAGAGAAAGGTACCTAGGTACTTAATCCTGAGGAGGCTGTGGGGAGCAGTGGTTAAAGCATTAGAGACCATTAAGGAAGAGTCGGTTTATAAGTGCTGAGGAAATACACCAGGGATACGGAATTTCTCGCAGCTGAAGGGTTCAGTTTGGTTTGAGAGAAGCTTCCTACGACATTTTCAGTGCCAGCCCAAAACCTTTTTATTTACTCATTATTTTCAGGGCTAATTATTTTATCATGCAGTTGAATTATTTTGTTCTGTATTTTACACATGATAGCTGCATTTTAATGTGCTGTTACAATCTGATTGTAAGTTGTCTTGAGAGCCGCTTGGATAAAGAGGATAGAAATGTTTTCAATACATAAATGGTAACAATACATAATTCCACTCCTGGGTGAGGCTGAAAGTGAAACAGGGCTCAAATATCAAACATCCTGGCATATTTTGGCTAAATGCCCTTAGAAAGGAATTTAGATCTTCTAGAATGGCAGGGGGAGTTGGCAAAAGCTGGGGAAGGCAAATGATTGCTGGCCAAGGGAACAGGAGGGCAGGGCTGCGGGGAGGCCTTGGGGGTACGGCTTGGCCCCTGGGCAGGCCAAGTTCTATCCGCAAGCAGTTCTGTTGCCCCAGAGGAAGGCTTGAGGCGTGAAAATGGGCCCCAGGCGGGTGTTCCCAGTTCTCCCAGCACAGAAGTTGAGCGGAGTAGAGCTTCTAAGCCCATCAAGACCACTGAATTAATTCGCTGTGCTTGTTTCCACAATAGGTGTGCACAGGCTTGCAGCCATAGGCCCCCACCCAACTCCCACCTGGTGAAGGTATCCAGAAGGCCAGTGTGGCAGTCTGGCTCTCCCAGCTGCTATTTAAGCAACAGATGCTTTGCAGATCAGAACTCTCGAGTCCTTTCTCAGGATCCACAGAAGTTGCTTGGATCGGAGAGCATGGCCTGCTAGACAGGCCTCCCGGTTTATTTTATTGATTTAGAACGCTTCTATGCCGCCCCCTTTGCCGAAGCCTCGGGGCGGCTTACAACAATAAATAAATAATAACAATATAACACAATATAATATAGCAGACAGAGGCAGGGAACTGGGGAGAATGGAGCCGAGCATGCGCCTGTTTCTGGCTTGGGGAAGGAAACTGTAACTCGAAGGGTCCGGGGGATAGCAGAGACTCTGCATTTCTGGGACGAATCGGGGCTTGGAAGTCTGACACTCAAGGCAGTCTTTAAAGATATCGTCAAGAGAACAGCCGGCCCCCTTCTGTGAGGCGTGTCTCGGGTGCCTGATGGCGCAAGTGATGTAGGCCCTATTGGTGGGCCTGGGAGATTTCTTTTTTCAGAAGCGCCAGCATGGGGAGGTGAATGCGCTTCCTCCAGGCGCCCTTCGCGCTGCTCTTTGACCCAGAAGGAACCCTTCCGCAGCCCAGATGTCCTGTCCAGTCACCCCCAGACTTCCTGCCCGTAGGTTCTGCTGTTAGGGCTTCCTGGAAGGGAAGGTCTGGACGGTACCAGGTTGGAGAAGACTGGGCCAAGGTTTAAATGCCATGAGGGGCTTTTGCCCACAGGGTGTCTCGCTGGGCCTGGCTTGCTTTATTTTATCCGTCCAGGTGGGCTGCCAAGAAGAACTCTCCGAGGGTCTCACTGCAGCATCTCCTGACCCCACAGCACATCCAGGGGCCCAACTACAAGCAGATTGTGAATAAATGACAAAATGGAGCGGAGTTAGAAACTTTTAATACATGCCCTCATTTGGCAAAAGACATTTGCCAACTTAGCAACTGAAGCACTAATAAAATGAAAGGGGTTTGTCGCTGCCAGAAGAGTGGAAGTCAGAAACTTAGATGGCAGAGAGGCTTTCCTGCACCCCCAAAGCACAGGCCCTGAATCGCTTCAGCAAGAGGGCCGGATTCCATTTCAAAAGCATTCTGGTAGGACATATTCCGGTGTCTAGGCATGCCAAGGGTCCAGTAAAAGCCCCACATCATTTAGTTGTAAGCTCTTTGTGCTGGTAAGTACGTGTTTCTGCCTTTTTAGTGAGGGAGTAACATGGCACCAAAGCCAGAAAGCCACCAAACAGTCAGTGGGAAAAGAGTGAGACCCCAGGGAAGGGGCTTGGCTACCGCCTAAAAGCTCCGTTCGGCCACCGGCCGAGCTTCTGTGCCTCGTGCCCTGACACGGAGCAGGGCGGAAGAGCGCCCGGCTGGGTGGTGGACGAGGAATCCCGGCTCCTGCACGGTTCATGCCGACCTGCTCCTTTTCTTGCCCCAGGGGAGCCTCCGGTCGCCAGAGTTGGCCCAGAAGAGCCGGGCGGCTCCTGGAGGCAGGAGTACCTGATCGCCGAGCGCGCCGGCCGCCGCCAGCCCGTGTGCATGGTGTGCGGAGGCCTCCTGAGCGCCTCGGGCCCCGCGGCCGCCCGCAGGCACATCCAGCGGCATCACGCCCACTCGCTGGGCTTCAGCCCGGAGGAGAAGCGCAACATCCTGGAGGCCTGGAGCGAAGGGGCGGTGCTTCCCGCCGCCGAGCCGCCGCCCCGTCCCGCAGGTAAGCCGCGTCGTGCGTCCCACCCCCGCTTCTGCTCTTGAACCCTCCCCGACCGGCTGGCACCCTGCCGCCCGGAGAAGCCCTTTCAGAACCAGGTCTGCCTCCCCTTTCCGTTTCTGCAACCTTCAGGCATCACGGGAGTATTTAAGGCAGCCTCCCGGCACGGTGCGCTCCATGCTGGCGGTCCTGGCCTAGCCCATCTGGATGGCCCCGGGCCGGTCTGCCGTGGAGTGTCCCTCTCAGTTCTTCCTCCCCGGCACCCAGAGCCCCCCGAGACGGGGCGGGGACGCTTGACGTGGCAGGAGCTGCGTGGAGGTGGCGCACGGGGTGGCGAACACAAGTCCTGGTGTGGGGGGCATGCGGCAGGGGCGGGCTCCTCGGGACCAACCGCTTAGCCCCTCGGACTCTGTGCGGTCCCCCCGGAAAGGGTCCCGACTCCCAGGCAGCACAGGCCGCAGCACGTGAAGGAAGGAAAGGGGACAAGGACATTGCAGCTGTGTCAAACTCTTCCCTTATCTCCGTTTCGGTGTTACTCCTTTGTAAAGTTTCCGTCCGTTGCCTTGGGCCAGGGCTTGCACAGTTCCGCCCGTGCGTTGTGGAGCCTGGTGTCAGAATCCCTGCTTTGCGGGCAGGCGCTTCGACTGAGGCTGTTGCCGGTGCAGGAGCGAACGGACTCTGCCCCTTCAGCTCCAGAGGCTTCCATTTCCTCCCTCCGTCCAGGGGCTGCTGATCCTCTCTTCATCCCAAGGGCCAAATTGCACTTCAGAGAAGCCCTGGGAGGCCACATTCCGGCGGAGGGCGGGACAAAGGGGAAAGGGGCGGGGTCTGTTTGGACTGACGTCGCCTGTGGCCAGTCAAGAAGCCCTCGGAGCAGTGGGCCTGTGTTTCAACATGGGGAAAACGGCACAAAGGTTGAGAAAATCCCAACCAGTCGCCGGTTTGGGAGAAAGAGAGGGGCCTGGGGAAGGAGCGTGGCCCTCTGGGTCGGAAGGGGACCCCAGGAGAGCTGGGTATGCCCTAAAGACCAGGGGTTCACCCTCTGGAACGCGGTTCTTCACTCTTTCCTGTAGGAGACAAGAAAGTTCATGCACAGGACACCATCAGCTCAGGTTGAACTCCGTGGCCCGGAGTACTTGTACAGTCACGCACGCAACACCTTTGGAGAACTGTTTGTTTCACTGATTTCAAAGTACTTACAGGCCGCTCTCCCCTTAAAAGAATGCGTTGGCCTACAGTAAATCCTTACGAAAGCACAATTACGCTCGCACAAGATAAGAACTGGGGAAAGCCAAGGTAAAGAAGCACAACTTTACACACCAGCCCGAACACAATTTGCGTACAGCGGCGCCTCACGCTTCAAACGTCCCCGAGTTTGATTGTTCCAGAGTTCGAACGCTAAAATCTAGAGAAGATTGTTCCAAAGGCCGAACGATGCTTCTCAGTTCGAACTGCAGGCGCAGTGAAAAAGCCGCGCTTGCTGCGGAAGTGTTGTCTGTTGTGCCGCCAGGTCGCCTCTCGTTGGGGAAGGATCTCTTGCTCTCTCACTGCGTGTCCGTTCAGTCATTTTCAGTGCCTTTTTGGTGAGTGCCGCTTCGCTCGTTTTCAGCGCGTGCCTTTCCTATCCTCCTCAGTCCTCCTTCAAGGCATGCTTTTTCAAGCATTTTCAGTGCTTTTTCTCACTTTATTTTTCGGTTATGCAGTAAACCCCTCCATATTACCCACGGCATCCAGAAAGCGTGTGGAAGCAACGAAGCCCAAGAGGAAGGTTGTAATCTCGACGATTGAGGTGAAAAAGGAACTCATCGCGAAGCATGAGAGCGGCGTGCGTGTAGCCGATCTGGCGGCCATGTTTAAGATGCCGAAGTCGACGGTGTGCACCATTCTTAGGAACAAGGAAGCGATAAAGGCAGCAGACGTGGCTAAAGGTGTGACGACGTTGACTTCCAGGAGATCACATGCGATTGAGGAGATGGAGAAACTTCTCCTGGTGTGGATAAACGAGAAGCAATTGGCTGGTGATTCCATTTCCAAGACGACTGTTTGTGAGAAGGCGAAGCAGCTGTATAGTGACCTTCGGGAACGTGCGCCTGGGACCAGTGCCGAAAGTGAGGAGTTTAAAGCAAGTAGGGGGTGGCTTGCCAAATTTCGGAAAAGAACCGGCATCCATAGTGTGGTCATGCACAGGGAGCCTGCGGGTGCTCGTGTGGGGGAAGCTGCAAAGTTTGTGAAAACCTTCCAGCAGTTTGTTGACCGCGAGGGTTTTGTGGCCCAGCAAGTGTTCAACTGTGACGAGATGGGCCTCTTCTGGAAGAGGATGCCCAGGCGGACCTACATTACGGAGGAAGAGAAGGCCGTGCCAGGACATAAGCCGATGAAGGACAAGCTGACTCTGCTGCTCTGCGGTAATGCTAGTGGGGATTGTAAAATAAAGCCGTTGCTGGTGTACCACTCCGAAAATCCACGCGCGTTCAAAAAGAACAGCGTCATAAAGAGCAGGCTCAGTGTTATGTGGAGGGCAAACACGAAAGCGTGGGTAACCAGGCGGTTCTTCACGGAGTGGCTTCGTGAGGAGTTTGCGCCATCAGTGAAGGCTTATCTCGCCCAGAAGAACCTGCCACTGAAGGCTCTGCTGGTGATGGACAGCACTCCAGCGCATCCGCCAGTCTTGGCGGAGGAATTGATGGGGGAAGCCAGCCTCATCGAGGTGCTGTTCTTGCCCTCCAGCATCACCTCTCTCATCCAGCCCATGGGCCAGCAGGTCATCCCGAATTTCAAGAAGCAGTACACCAAGGCTATGTTTCAGAGGTGCTTGGAGGGGACCAAGGAGACAGAGCTGACCCTCCGAGACTTTTGGAAGGACCGTTACAATATCCTGCAGTGCATCAGCGTCATCGATAAAGCTTGGAGGGAACTTTCTCCCAGGACAATGAACTCTGCTTGGGAGAAACTCTGGCCAGGTTGTGTTTCAGCCAGAGCTGAAGGTTTTGAACCAGCGTCTGTGATGAAGGAAATTGTGTGTCTGGGCACGACCTTGGGGTTGGAGGTGAGTGAGGAGGATGTGGAGGAGTTACTGGTCGATCGCAGAACTGAATTGACCTTAGAAGAGCTGCAGCACCTGCACAAACAGCAGCAAGAAGTGGTTGTGGCAGAGGAAATTTCTCTGGGGGAGGAAGAGCGAGCCAAGAGGAACATCCCCCATGCTGAAATTAAGGCGCTTTGCTCTGCCTGGGCTAGAACACAGGCCATTGTTGAAAAGTGGCACCCGGACACGGCCGTGGTCAAGAGGAGCATTACTCTGCTCAACGACAACGTGATGTCCTACTTTAGGGCCACGCGGAAAAGCCGCCAACACCAGGCTAGGTCGGGACGGTCCTCAGAAAAGAGGCAAAGTGAACCAAAATCGTCAACCAGTCACGCTAAGAGGCAGAAGAGAGAGAGAATGCCGGAAGACCTCACCACTCCTCACGAAAACAAATCCGGACAGTAAATGCAACATTCATTTCATTACACAGTACTGTACATTTATCAGTTGTGTTCAGGCTGTAATAAATTTGGCCTTCCATTGTGTTGTTTTTCCCTTAAATTATGCGTATTTGCTGTTTAAGTTTATCGAGCTGGGTATTGCTAAGGGGCCGGAGATGGATTAATTCCCTTTCCATTATTTCTGAGGGGGATCGTTGCTTCAGACTTCCAATGAAACAGAGCTCAGACAGCCCCCTGAAACGAATTAAGTTCAGCGTCTGAGGCACCACTTTGCCCTGAAGCAGATGTGGGCAGATCTGGTTTTGCTAGGCATGGAGGGAGTCGATCGGTGGGAAAGGGCTGTGGGGGGTTGTCCTCTGATCCCCCAAACTTACTGGGCTCCGGTTCCGGAACGTTCCTGGCTCTGCGCCACCCACACGCGTTAGTCCACCTCCAAAGCCTTTGAGTGTGAAGCCTGCCTTTGCACCCCAAAATGGCACTCCAGCGCCCGTGGGGAGCACTCCAGCTGCGATCCTCGGGGAGCGGCTGGATTCTGGCCCCACTCCCCTTTTCGGCACTCGCATAGCACAGTTGTGGATGCGCACCAGCGTTTGATTCCGTTTCTGACACTTCCCATGCCAGGCAGCCCCCGGGAGAGCAAGCGGCCTGCCGAGATCGAAGTGCTCCTCGACTCGGAGGAGCAGCCGGCGAGTCGGAAGCGCGGGCAGCCGAAAGCACGCTGCGGTGAGTGCCGGGGGTGGAGAGGGCCGGGAGAGTCGCCCCTCGGCCGCCGGGCAGTGCTGCACCCGTGCCTGTTCTGATCACGCCTGTTTGCTTCCTCGTCCTCATTCGAGGGCAGCCCGGTGCTGAGAGCGACACCTGGGCTCACGGAACGGAGGCTTCTGTATAGAACGGGGTGCGGGGGGCAGAGGGTAGATCCACAGGCCTTTGGGACGCTACTGCCAGCAGGGATGCGGTTGGGAAGCAAGCATGTTGTGCTCCTGCAGGCGGCTTGGCCCCACGATCCCGCCCCCATGGGCTGCACTGGCTGCCCCTGGTTGTAGGGCAGCATCCGCCGGTGTGGAAGGGGCAGTCCGGGCCTCTCCTGCAGGGACAAGAGGGGCTGCCAGGTGAGTCCCCTTCTTCAGCGCAGCTTTCCAAGCTGCCCAGCTGCTCCTTTCTGTCTCTGGCCGTTCCGTGACTCCGTTTCTCTCTCTCCTGAGATCTGCCGTGCCGCCGCGTGGGGCTGGGGGCAGGCCCCAGTGCCCCCGTCAACGCCCCCGACCTGCAGCCGCTGGATCCGTGTGACGCTGTGGTCTTCTCTCTCTCCGGCAGAGGTGGCCCGCCTAGACCCCGAGCGGCGATCACAAAGTCAGCAGAGGAGAAACGGTTCAGGCAGTGCCAAAGATGGGAGGAGCCACCAGCCCATCCAGGCTGCAGGTAGCGCGAGGGCCACGAGGCAAGGCGGCTGATGCTCCGTGGGTGGCGACATTTGACCTTCGGGGCCCCTGCAGGCCGCCCCCCACCCCAATGCACAGTAGGCGGTCCAGTGGAGAACTGAACATTGCAAGAATATTATGCCTGCCTTTCCTTGCCCTTGAAAATCAAGTTTCTAGTGCTTAGGCTTGGAAAGAGAGGCTTGGAAGTGTACCTTTGCAGCATGGTGGTCTTGGGAGCCTGAGTGGGCTGCTGGGTAAGCTTTTCCGGTGGCCAAGACGGTCACCCCCTCAGCTGTCGGCGCAGGAGCAGAGCTGCATTCAGAGTCGCTGCTTTGGCCCAGGCGGGGAACGGGACTCCATCGCCACCTGCCAGGGCTGCTGCAGAAGACGCTTAGGCTGCCCCCCAAGCACTGGGTTCTGGGGATTCCACGCCCCCCGGCTGTCTTCTCACACTGGCTTTGCTTCTAGGGAAAGAATGGCTCTCCGAGTGCGGAGTCCCCGGCTCAGCGCCAGCTGAGATCCGGATCTTCACCGATGGTACCTTCCCGGCTGGCTTTGCCTTAAAACTATATTGCCGGACTCAGCCAGGTAGGTTGTGCTTCGGAGCAGGTGGGGAGGGATGCAAGGTACCTTGAAGTTCCTGCTTTTCAAGCGGCAAGCTCTCCAAACCATCCAGAAAACAATTCCAACTACTTCTCTGCCTGCTCTGCGTTTCCATCACCCTTAACTCTTGACAAAGGGCTCAGAGAGCCAGTGCGGCGTAGCGCTTCAGAGGGTGGGACTCGGATTCAGGAGACCCGGATTCTAGTCCCCGCTCAGCCACGGAGCCAGCTGGGTCCAGACTCTCAGCCCTGCCTCCCTCACAGGGTTGTTCTTTTGGGGATAAGACTGAGAGCAGGAGGAGGAGAACGCTGTAAGCCACTCGGAGTTTTTGGCAAAGAAAAGTGGGATATAAATTAAATCAGGATGTGGGTCGAACCTAATCAGCCACATTGCTGTGTACCTGCTTAAAGGAATCCATCATTGAAACCTCGGCTCCACAAACCAACTGGGCATCATCCCGTGTCCCCAAAGGGCCGCATCCTGGCAGTGACCAGCACCCTCCTGTCCTCCAGGGCTTCGGGGTCCTCTTAATGTCCCAGGCATAGAATTGGAAACAGAATTGGGTTCTGCAAAGGCACGAACGGTATAATGAAATATGGCATATGGTAATTAATGATAAACTGATGACGGAAATAAAAAATTAAAAAGGGTTTATGAAAGCAAATGAAATTGGGGAAGATTTTGTAAAAGCAGTACTACAGAAGGCAAAGGCTGTAAACCTAATCAAGATTGTATGAATTTCCGGAGGGGATATGTATATAATTGAAGTATATTATATATTATTAATTGTTATAATATGTGAATTAAGTGGTGGTAGTATTGGACTCCGGGGTGGTGGAGGCACTTTATAATTTACTTTTTAAAATTACGGTGTTTTTGCTATATTATCATTGTTGCGATGTGTTGTATTTATGGGGGGGGGTTCTGTTTAAAAAAATACAAAGGGGGGAAATGCCCCAGGCAAAGAAACAGGCCCACTATGGGCTTGTGTGGGAGGGGCTGGGCCGGAGGGGGGTAATTTGCTAGTGCTTGTTGCACAGGGATGGCCTGACACACACACAATTGCGGCCCACGTGTTGTGTGGTCCCAAGGAGTGGATGCACTTATCTCAGACAACCCTGAAAGAGGCCTGGTGGGTTGGCATTATGCAGGAACCCTGGACTGTGTGTCGTTCCGCCAAGCTATGGGGATAGTAGGGAAGGACTATTAAAAACCCGCGCCACTACTGTGTCGTGTGTGCCAAACACACACACTACATGTCAGTATGATACCACCCCACAGAGACTGGGTGTAAAGGCGGACAGGTGAATGAGACGCAAAGCAAGCGACCCAGGGACCGGGAAGCCAAACCGTGGTTTGTTCAGCTGTCTGCCAGACAAACCCCAGGTAAGACAAGCTGTTGGTTAATGGTTTGTGCAAAAGTTTTGCTTTTGTTTTTTTTATTACAGAACCAGCCCAAGACACTGAAGCAAAACCAAATGCGAGGCAGAGGACAGTGGGTAAGTTTGTGACTCGGTACTAACGACAACGACAACACCGTGCCAGCTTCAGAGGGTGGGTTGGTGGGAGACGGACACTCCTCAGTGCAAGGGCATCTTTGCTCCCGCTCAGCGTGTGCCCGGCCTCTGCGTTTCCTCTCGTGGTTTCGTGTGTCCGTGGGATCGGGAGCCATTTGAAAAGCAGTTTTTCCCCACCGCAGGGAAGGGAGAGTCGTATTCTGTGGATGCGCCACTTGATGCAGAAACCGAATTTTAGCACAAATGCTTGCTCAGGAGTTGTGGGCTCACTTCTGAAGTGTTCGTCTCTAGTCTTCATTCCAGGAAACAGCTAAATTACCCAAAGGGTTTTGCAGCTCACGCTGAGCCACCCTTTAGGGCTGTGCCGCCAGCAGGAAGCAGGGCTCCGAGCAAAGTGCTGTGCCCGTGTGCCGTACTTTCTCTCAGGTCCCCTGGGGGTGGAAGGCCCCAGAACTCAAATTCCCTTTGTTCCACTCCTAGCGGCAAATCAGTAAGTGCAGTTAAAGAGGCTCGAGTTTGTGGGTAAACAAGCGGATTACAGGCACTGGCGTGTCTCGAGTTTATTTTGGCCAAGCTTAGATAGGGTTGGCTTCAACCTGTGGAAGGAATGCGTTGCCACTGTGGTTAAGTGGGACCTCTGGGGCCAGAGGAACTCTGCCCCGAAACGGCCCACTCGGGGAAACCACATCCCCTGGCCCAGCCAGCCAGCAGGTCTTAATGCCCTTTGCTGGTTCCCAAGCTTTAATCCCCACACAGCAGGGCCGGCGCCCAGGAGCAGCATGGCTGGACAGTTGCTGAGGTGCCACCTCCCTGCAGGGGCAAAAGCGCCCAGAGCTGCTCCCCCCTGCCCATCACAGCCTGCTGGCCCGCCCACTCCCCCCAGTCTGCAAAATGCCGGTCTCCTGGATCCGTGGCAAATTAGTCGGTGGAAGCCCCGACGAGAGAGGGGGAGAGACGGTGGGTGGGGGTGGGCAGGGCGGAGGGGGGCCCTTCTGGGAAGCCGCAGCCGGGGAGGCCAGTGGCTCGCCCTCCTAACACGCGTCTTGCCTCGCCCCCCTGCAGATCGCAAGTGCTCCGTCTCCTTGCTGCGGCTCCACCCCCCCCGACGCCCCCCACCATCCCGCCCCCTGCCCCCTCGGCCGCCCGGCCGGCGCCCGCGCCACGGACTGCGACGGCCGGCCGGGCCAGCAGGGCGCTGCGGTGGGCAAGCAGGAGGCCGCGCTCCTGGCCACGGGCTTCAACCCCGCCTGGCGCGCCCGCTTCCTCATGGACTTCGACGCCGCCGCCGGCCGGCTGGTGTGCATGGTGTGCGAGTACCCGCTGCGCCGCGCGTGCCTGGCCAGCATCAAGCGGCACATCCTGCAGTGCCACGCCGAGACGCTGCACCTGCCCCGCGAGGTCCGCCGCACCATCCGCGAGGTCTGGGAGAGCCGCGGCCAGCCCCCCGCGCAAGCCCCCCGGAAGTGAGGGGGCCGGCCGGCCTGCCTGCGTCCACGCCGCCGCCGGCCCCAGCCGGGCGGCCTCGGGACACCTGACCACCGCTCCCACTGGGTGCCGGCTGGGCCCCCCGGAGGCGGCGTCCCCCAGGACCGCGCCGGGCCGGGCGCCACGAGGAAGGGGGGCGCTGCGCCTTGGTGGCGGAGGGGGACCCGGGGTCCGCACAGGGTGGCACCTTCGGCCCACGCATTCCCTGCCGCCCGGTGCCGGTTTCTCTTGTGGGGTTTTGCTGCTAAAGCACAAAGGAGGCTCGCGTGGGACCCCCCTTCCTTTGACCGCCGTCCCCGCCCCCTCCTGCGACGCAGCTCCCGACAGCGCTGGGGGAAGATGGAGCGACGAAAGCCCCCGGTGGGAGAAGCGCTGCCGCTCGATCTCCCCCTCCGGGGTGGGGTCTCCGCATCAGGACCGTCTTCGAAATGCTCAGGGGGAATCTTCATGCTGCTGCCGCTGCCGCCGGCCCTTCCCCTCGCTCCCAAAGCCCCCCTTCGTGCCTCCCCTCACGCTCCCGGAGAAGAGTACGCCGGGAGGGGGGCCGGCCTCCTTGGAACGGCTCTTCTGCTGGATCCGTGACGCCTTTTCCCCCCAGCCGCGTCTTCCCCGCTGATCGAGCGATGCCGGGACGAGGCGGAGATGCATCCGGACACGGCGGCGGGCACTGCGTTCCACATCTGACCGAGGAGCAGGGAGGGTGGGGTAGAAAACGGGGCAGTTACCTGGGCGAGGAACTTCACCTGGCCAAACGATACAAAGGGACAACGAACGGACCGGCAATAAATTATTTTTATGGCATCCTGCAGCTTTCCGAGTCTCCTCAATTCTTGGCTTTAGGCATCTTTCTCATGGGAAGTGTTTGGGGGGCGGAGAAGAGCACGCTTTATAATAAAGCCCTGGGTTTGCCGACGCGGTACCTGGAATGAGACGTTTAAACCGTTCGCTCGGGGAAGCCGGCTTGCAGCAAAGCAACAGGCTGCCTTTCCAGCGCCATTTCTATGGGGGCTCATCTGGCCGGGTCTGCGGATTGGAGCTCAGGACTCTCCCCTGCTTGGCGCTTCACTTCTTGGGTAGGTCGCTTTTCCTTTTCCTTTTCAGCTTGCCTTTGGGGACGTTCACAGCTTGGGATTGGCCCACAGTAGCCCGGTTCCCCGCCTCTGGAGCAGCCATTTTTTGAGAGTCCCCACAATCCTCAAAATCCGACCTGGCCCACTGGCATGGGCTATGGGGTGTGAAGCGGGGCGGGGGTGCCCAGTTTGGGTGGCCGGTATCATTTCTCGGCCGCCTTGTGGAGAGAGGCTGCTGTGAGACGGACATGGGTGCAAAGAGTGACTTTCATTTAGCCCGGGTTTGGCAGGACTCACCCTCCCTCTTCTGCGGGGCCGTTTCCCCCTTCTTGGAGGAGGAGAGCACCAAAGCTGCAGACCACGTCCCCCTGGCAGGGCGAGCCAGGTCTGTCAGACCAGAACGGGCAGCCCAGGGGCCTTCCGGGGCTGCAGGACGGAGGTCATTTTAGACTTAGTGACCTTGTGTGGGGGATGCACTCTTAAGACCCTGTGGCACGTGACTTCATGACCCCTCTGCTCCATCCCCTCCGCCCCGAAGTCCAACCCCAGGAGTGCCGCCGCAGAAGAAGTGTGGTTTGGAGGCTGAGTAGCTCCTGTGAGAGTTGGCACGAGGCCTTTGCAGTGCCCGAAAGAGGAAAAACTAGCCCAGCCGACCCTATAAAATAACCGCTTTCTCTCTCCTCTGCTTGCACTCCAGTTCCGCTGCTTGCCAGGAGGGGGCGCCCTCCACCCTCGCAGAGACGGGCTGCTCCGGATGTTCTGCAGAGGTCCTGGGGAAACCGGCGGCCCTCCAGCTGCCCCGCGGCCTCAGCGCAGTCGGGCGGACATGACTTGAGCTGCCGGTTCTGCCACAGTGAGTAACATGGCAAAAACCTTCGCAAAGAGCCGAATTGCGGGGTGAATGTTGTTCTCTGTGGCAGGTGATTCACCTGCCCTGCTAGGTATGTTTCTGGTTTGCAAAGGAACCTGCTGCACCTTGGGGGGTGCAAGCTGGGAAAAATTGACTCGCCTAGGGCGAGCCAAGAGGCCTCACCACCTCCCGTGCGGAGAAACGTTGCCAAAATCAGTGCGGCTCCCTTCTGCAAATGACTCGACAGCTACTGGATGTTGCTGAGAGCTAGAAACTTGTGCGGGCTGTCTGTTAGGCTGTATCCATGGGGCAGCTTTTGAGGAAGTGTGTCTATCTCCTCCCCTTTGCTATCCCAGCCCCAAGAGAAGACGAAGCCTTGTTACAAAAGAGAAACATCACGTTTAATAAATTACGGCAGGGGCTTACATTTCAGCCCAATAAATAACACAGACAAGATCCAAGGAGAAACGGCAGGAAAGGGGAAAACCTGATCATCTTCTGACTGCATCACCTTCCCGACTAATGGGGGGGGGGCGCTATTTTAAGTACAAAAAACCGTCCGAGGAGTTTGGGAGGCGACGTGGCACCTGCTGGGCACCACGTGTCTCCAGCGCAGGGAACAGGCAGGCGAGCGGCAGGTCACGCGTCACGCGGCCGTGGGGACGCTGTCACTTGGCAGCAGAGGCCAAAAGCGGCATGGTGAACTCGCCAAGCGGCCGCGGACACCCACCCTCCCGGCGGGGTCACCCCCCTTTGCTCACCTAGCTCTGAATTTGGTGCCCCACTTCCAGGCAGCGCTTCCCCTCCCCAAGCCTAAGTACACGGGAAGCGGGATTTGGGGGCCTGGAAGAGCCGCCTCGGTGGGTTTCAGAGCGACCCCGAGCACCCGGGACAAACCTTTCCCTTGATCCTCAGCTGGTGGCAGGTCTGACTGGTTCTCATGTGGGGGGGCGCCTAGGGGTGGAATGGGGGGCCAGTCCAGATGCCGCTTGGGCACCAGCTCCCATCAGTCCCAACCCACAGACCGGGATGATGGGAGATGCGGTTCCAAGCATCTCGTGGCCTCCGCCTGGCTCCAAGCAACACCTCCCATGATACAGGAACAATGCGGGCATAACTGACGGGACGAGGCCTGTGGAAGGAGGGTCCCCGGACACGTGGGGCTTTTGCGTGGCTGGAGAGTGCTTCAGGGTCAGAAGGGGGGGCACCTGCTGCTCCAGCCCCCCCCCCACACCCCCCTCACTCCTCCCTCTACAGCAATTTGCTGGTGATGGGTTTGGATTCCTCAAGCAGAGCTATTTGGGGACTCCTGGAAGACCTTTGAAACGAGGGACCCCACCAACCGGCTGCACTCGCCCCCCCGGCACCGAGGGGCTGGAGAAGGAAACGCCGGAAAGCGTGACTGGCAGGGACCAGAAAATGGGTGTTCCTGTTGCATCTCAAGATCAATTCGAGAAGCAACACGCCCCGGTTTCTCTGTCCCTGGGAAGAACCCGAGGAGATGCAGCCTTCCTGCCCTGGTGTCCATCCTCCGGATGGGGTTCCAGGCTGGCCCTTTCCCACTGCAGCCCGTTTCCCCCACAGTTTCAGCACTGTCTTAAATAGGATCCCCTTCATGGAAGACCGTTCCACTTACGGCATTACCCTGAGAAGGAGGGGCAGGGAAGGAAGCGCCAGCAAGACGTTTACGGAAGGAGACGGGGGGATCAGGCCGGGCTCTTCTTCCCCACGCATCTTGCATTTTAGGAGTCAGTCCGTGGAACAGGTTGGGGGGCCAAGCAGCAGTAAGGTCCAATGAGTAAATTGATGGGCGGGGGGGGGAGAAGGGGGTTTCTTCCAGCAAAGGGTGGGAGAGGAGTTGTAATGGGCACTCTTCCCCACCCAAAATTCCTCTTTCTGCTCACACCAAACTGTCTAGCCAGAGATTCTATAATCCTGAGCGTTAGAATCAGATAAATGGGGGGGGGATTCTTGTCTAACCCCCCCCTCCAATTGCACACATGAGCACACCAGTAAATGGATGGGGCAGCCCCACCCTGTTCCAGTCCTGGTTGAACGGGAAGTAAAAAAACGGGCACTGGCTCCAAACGGGGAGATGAACGGGAAAGAACACCAACATCACCACTCCAAATGCACACCCACGCACACCCCACCCCAATAAATTAAACCCAGCAAGATCACACAGCCCCCACCCCGTAGCGCAGGATTCCCACCCCACACCGATGCAGAAATACTGCAGTTCTGGGAAGCCGGCGTGGCCCCCAGCCCGGAAGACCGTCTGTCTGGCTTTGGCTCCCACCCGTCACACACAGGCGCGTGCGTGCCAAGGGCTCACAAGCCGGCAGGTGCGAAGGCCCACGGGAAACCTTCCCTCGGGGGGGCGTGTGTGTCTTGCGAAGGGGGTGTTCGGAAAGTCCCTCGCACCCCACTACTCTCAGCACGAGGTTCCTCCGGCTGTGCACCGATTCCCTATTGCACGAAGCCCCCGACGCCTCCTCCCGGCCCTGAGATGGATGGAGGTCCCTCCCCCACAACCCGCCCCCTTGTTCAGACCTCGGTCTCCACCCCAGCCAGCCTGGGGGTGAGGATGCGGGGCGTGACGCCCGCGTTGAGGTCCGTTTCGAATTCCAGCAGCTGCCCCATGAAGTTGAGGTTGGGCGAGATGATCGGCCGCCGCCCCTTGACGAACTTGTAGGCGTCGCCCATGGTCATGCGCGTGTGCTTCATCAGGTAGGCGATGACGATGGTGGCGGAGCGCGAGACGCCTGCCTGGCAGTGGATGAGGACCCCTTTGCCGCTCTGGTGGGCCTCTTCTGCAGGAGGGAGAGAAGAGCCAGTGTCACGTGAGAGAAGGGAGGAGGCGAAGAGCTCCCCTGGAGGCTGTTCCGGGGTGCAGAATCACAAATCGGGCTCTCCCGGGCTAACCTAGCAAGCCAGGCCCCCTTTCCCCGAGCCCTGGACCCTTCCCTGGAGTTTGCGCATTTTCTCTTTTTCCTGCCCGGCAGGAAGAGCCTTAGGCTACAAGGAGCTGGTGCGTTGACCCTCCACCCTCTTTTCCTGGGGAACACCCGCCACTGGAAGGAGCCCCCCCAGAGCAGCTCCAGAATGGAGTCTCGCTTCCCAAGTGGAAGGTTTTGCGTGCCTGGTCTGTTGGGAGCCGTGGCTGCCCGTTTGTTCACCTATGGCGAGTTAAGAGCAGGCTCCAAGTGACTAGGCAGCCGGGCTTGGTACTTTCTTTACAAAGCTGAGGATGGCTTAACATTGAAATCTCAGCTTAAACGTTCTGGTTGCTCTGCTCCGGGGCAGCGACAGGAGATTTGTCGGATTTGCACTAGATGCTTTGTGTGGAAGTGTGGTAGGGGTCTTTTGGTCTGGGAATGTTGAGCCCTTTTCAGTCTAAGGGCTAAATTCAATCCTGGCATAGATTTCAGGGGGGCACCTTCCCATGGTGAGCCAGTCGAAAAAGTGGGCAGGCCGAAGCAGCCCAGCAAATTAGCTGTTAGGGTCAGTATCAAAGCCTTCAAAAAGGCCCTTGAGAAAGCGGGGAAGTGAACGCCACCCAGGAAGCCAAACAATCAGCGCTCAGGAAGGGGCCTGGCCAGCCAGGGAGCCTCTTTTCCCAGCCAGGGGCCGCGGCCCCCCACCCGTGCCCTGGGATGCCCGGGCGGCTCCCGTACCGATGAACTCGAAGGCCTCCTCGAAGTACTGGCGCAGGTCTTGGCGGTTGTTGTCGGTGGCGGGCAGGCGCTTGTAGCGCAGGCGGCCGCAGTCGGCGTGGTAGAGGGGCAGGTGGGTGGTGACGTTGAGGACGTGCCCCACGTTGAGGCTCAGCATCCGGCCGAGGTCCTGCGCGTCCCTCTCGTTGCCCAGGAACAGGAAGGGCAGGATGGGGCTCAGCTCGGCGTTCTCCAGGTCGGGCGTGAGCGGGGGGCCCAGGTCGTCGGGCCCGTCGGCTGCGTCTGACGCCAGCAGGCCCCCAGCGGCCAACGAGCGCGGAAGATGGGGTGACTCTGTGGGGTGGAGAGGGGAGGCGTGAATCCAAGGCCACAGGGTTACGGCCACATCGCTCATCGCGGAGCAGATGCTCTGCAAAGGCCGAGTGAGCGTGTTTGCTTTTTCTCCTTCTAAACCTTTTCGAAAGAGCTTCAAGCAAAATGGGTTGTTGCAGTGTGGGTAACACGGTGTGGAAAGAATCAGTCTTGGCTCCCTTGGGGTTCCTCACCCGAGGAAAAAACGACGCGATTAACTCCCAATGTAGTAGGAACAAGAATTGCCCTTATTTCCGTCCTGGCCTCTGTCTGCCTTGGCCCTGATCACTCCTGGGAGGTGGCCTTGGGACCTTCTCTGAAATGGCGCTCAGTCCTTGGGTGGAAAACAGGTTCCACACCCCAGACTACAGCTTCCATAAGTGCCAGACAACAGGGGATTATGGGAGCTGTGGTCCAGACCCGGAGAGCATCAGCCTGTCCTCGCCTGACCAACTCTGCAATATTATTAAACCAGCCCTTTATGCAGGGCCATGAGGACTAGAATCTTTATTTTTTTTCAGGGAAGCACTGGTCCTCAAAATGCAGGCTCTGTCCCACGGTTGATCCCTGGCACCTCCAGTTAAGGCTGCAAAAATTCCCGTCCCCCAGGGGGTTCAGGCAGGAATTTCTCCAGCCCTACCTAGAGCTGCTGGTCTGAGCAGACAGCGCTGAGTTGGAATAAGGCTGGGGAAGATGGGAATCGTAGTCAAGCCATCTCAAAGGCACCAAGCTGGAGAAGGCCGAGCGAGGCGACGTCGGGAGTTATGTTGGAGTAGGGGCGCTACTCTTTCCATGTTCACATTTCTTACGATGCAGCCCTGTCCGTGTTTTTTTTTGGGGGGGGGTGGAATCCTACAGCTGCTTGCATTTCCCGGCCCTGTAAGAGAGCCGGCGAGCACAGGAACCCGCCACGAAGCCTTCGAGAACCGTCCTGCACTGCACCCCGTGTGCAAATCCAACTTTTCTTTCACTGCCAAGTGGATAAATAACTCACAGCATCAGCAGTTAAGTGTCTGTGCAGCAGTAATGCAATCTCTTCAGCTCACCCCTCTCACACACACACACACGTGTGTGCACGCAACTCCGCACACCTCTCCCTGAGAAAGGATGGTAATCAAACCCTTGGAAAGTGCCCTTTATGGCTTGGACGTCTTGCCTGGGGTGAGGCGAGATGAGTTCGTTGTTTTGGCCTCCCCCCAGTCCACAGCCTCCGCTAGGTAAAATGACCCTCTGCAGCAGAGTTGTGGGCGGGGGGAGGCGGAGAGACTGGGGGGGGGGTGACACAAGTGTGAAAGAAGGTCAGCGAGATGATGTCATATTTCCAGCTGGACAGGGTTCATTCTGGTTCAGAGGCTCCGAGCAGGTGCGGCCTGGCCGGGAGAGCATCCCTGTGGCTTGCGGGGGGGGGGGGGGGCACGAAATAGCACTCCCCCCCCCGCCTGCCCTCTTTTGCCCGCCCCCCCCCCATTGCAGCTGGCCATCTGGTGGTCCAGCTGGGATGAGGTCACTGACGGGAGGGGAGAGAAACCTGAGCCAGCCCCACACCAGCACCGCCACGAATTTCGTCAACTGTTCCAGGTGGCCGGGGAAATCCCCCACCCCCCACCCTCCCCACCCCGGGAATGGACTAAAATAAAACGGGAAGGGAATTCTCCGCCTCGCGCGGCCCCGCAGAGAGCTCGGGAGAGCTCGCAGCGAGGCTGTGAGGGTCGCTAGTCCTCAGTGTCTGGGATGGGAAAAGTGCATTGACATGGCGGGAGGTTCTCCTTAGCCGGCTGTTTTACAGAAGGGGGGTTCGGTGCCCCCCACTGGGCCCCATGAAGTCCCCGCTGACTCTGTTTCTTCCCCCCTCCCCGCAATTTGCACATCGGAGCATTTCCCCAGCTTCACACAGCGCCCGGTGCCCAAGTGCCCTGCAGGCTGCCGTGATCTCCACACTGAGCCGGAGGATGGCCGAGGAGATTCCCCCAGGGGAGGACGCCCAGCGCCAGGGGTCCGATCCTGCCCCGCCACAGACGCTCCGGCCCCGCCACTCCCGCCCCGCTTACCTCGCCGGCCCGGCCCCTCCTGCGCGTCTCTGTGGAGCAGGTCCAGCACCAGGTGCAGGTTCTGGGAGGGCGGCGCTTTGCAGGCCTTGGGGGGGCTGGGGGGCCGCGCCTCTGGGCCGGCCTCCTTGGGCCAGAGGCGCTGCAGCGAGGAGTCCCTGCTGTCGCCGGCGCCCCGGGAGGAGAGGAAGTCGAGCACGGCCAGCTTGCCCTGCTGCAGCCGCCGGCGGCCCGCGGCCTCGGCGGCCCCGAAGCGCATGGCGCCCTGCAGCTGGCTCTTGGTGTACTCGACCAGGTTGCGGCAGTCCAGGATGAGCGGCGAGGGCGGCTGCTGGGCCCGCGAGCGCGTCATCTTGCGGGCGAGCTCGTCGGGCCAGATGGTGCGGACGCTGTAGTCGTCGTCGTCGTCCCCGCTGCCGTAGCCGCTGGGGGCCGGGGAGGCGCCCCCCCGGGGGTCGCCGGCCACGATGGGGTCGCTGCTGCAGAAGCTGCAGGAGGAGCTGGCCGAGGCGACGGAGGGGTGGCAGGCCAGGCAGGGCAGGCAGCCCAGCCGCTTGACGGAGGGCGGGCTGCAGCTGGCGCAGCTCAGCGAGCGCAGGCTGGTGCGGCAGGAGAAGCAGCCCAGCGCCCGCAGGCCCAGCGGCCTGGGGCCGGCCTCCTCGCAGCCCAGCAGCCGCCAGCAGCCCCGGCAGCCGCACCGGAGGGGCGGCCTGGCCGGGCTGGAGAGGCAGGAGGAGCTGGCGGAGGTGTCCACCGGCGGCTTGGCGTTCTCCTTGAAGCTCCGCTTCTTCAGCTTGCCCTGGGGCAGCAGCAGCTTCACCTGGGGGGCCGGCCCCCCATTCCTCTCGCCCGGCTTGAGGTCCAGCTGCAGCGAGAGGTTCCCCTCGGGCGCCCGGCCCTGCGCGGCCCCCACGGTCAGCTTGATGTCGATGGTGTGCGAGTGGTTGGGCTGGAGCACGCTGCCCCGGCGGCCCTCCTCACAGGGGCCCCTGCCCACCGGCGGGGCCTGGCCGGGCGCCTTGCAGACGGGGGGCGCGGCCGGCGGCACCGGCGGCTTCTCGCCCCCGCCGGAGAAGCTGTGGTTGAGGCGCAAGGCCAAGGTCTTGGGTCTCTGCAGCACGCCGATCCGTTCTTCCAGTGGCGAGGGAGGCATTGGGAAAGGCGAGCTGCGGGGAGATGAGAGGGAGGGTGAAGAGCATGGCTTGTCTCTGTGCCTCAGACCGGCGGGCCGAAGGCAGTGCTCTGAGTATTTGGGACGTCAGCGCCCAGGAGGTCAGGAATGCTGGAAGGCAGAAGTCCAGGACGCCTGGAGATCGGCCCTCTCCTTCCCTGCAGGACCCCAAGACTCATGTGTCCTCACCTTGGCCACCCAGAGGTGTAGACCGGGGTGGCTGTGGAGGACAGGAGCCGCACCCGGAGAGGGCGAGGCAGCCCTGCCCTGCTCAGGGACAGCAGCCTGCGCAGGGTTTTGCTGTCACGTGAGTTCCCTTCTCTCCAAGGCCAGGCAGGGTTACGGCCAGCCGTGTGGGCTGGAAACACCAAATGCACGGTTTGCAAATTAGCACTGCTTCACACTCTTCCTCACTGCCCTAATGACAGGCCGCTTGCGTATTCCCATTGCACAGATGTGGAAAACTGAGGCTGAGTGTCAGTCATCCCTCGCACAGAGCGGGAGTCAAGTCAGCCTCTCCATGACACCGCGTGCATGAGTGGCATTTTCAAAACAAACCCTCTGTCTTTTTATATTTACTTCCCGCCGCTCTGCGCACGTGTCCCCCGCACCCAGCCCGTGGCGTCTTATTCTTTATCCGCCGCGATAAAATCAGCGGCTGCTTTCATCTGTTCTTTAAACAAACCAAGAAGGCCAAGCGTTCAGGAATAAATTCCCCAGCCCTTCCTTACTCCTCCCTCGCTGCGCTGTTTAAAAACATCTTTCAGAAACATTCCAGGTAGAAATTGGGTCAAACGGAGCGAAAGCGCCTTCCGACAGGAGAGAAACACGCTCGCCTTCCCACCCCCAGCCCCAATCTTGCAGCATCGCTGCTCCCTTCCTCTCCACCCTCCGTTTCTGCCTCCCTGACGCAAACACTCGCCCCCCGCCCCCGGCCACATGAAAGCTGTGATATCAAGGAAAACACGCTCCCTCTTCCCACATTCCCCTGCGGGGTCTCGGAGGAAGGAAGGTGTTTTTCCAGCACTGTGCCAAGGGAGGATGAAAAACCCAGAATTTCATGCCCCTCCCAGAAAAGCAGAGATGCTTGGCGAGGGGGGCCTGGGCGGAATAACCCACTCAGAGGCCGTCTCCTCGCGCTGTGGGGAGGAGAAGCCAGCGTGGTGCAGAGCTGGGAGCTCTCGCACTGGGGCACGATCCCCGCTCAGCTACGAAGCCCAGTGGTTGCCTCTCAGCCTGGCCTACCTCACAGGGTTGCTGTAAGAATGAATTGGGGAAGAGGAGGGTGTAAATTGTCTCAGAGCCTTAGAAAGGGGAATAAAGGCCAGATCATCGTATCAGGCAACTGCTCGGGGGCTGTTTTTTGCATGGCAGGGGAACAGATCTGCTAGCTGGTTAAGGACACCCGGTGGTGGAGGACGGGTTGGTTAGGAAATCCGCTAAAATGGTTTGCAGGGAGGTTCTGTCACTGGTGTTGAGGCTGCAGGAGGGAATGGTGGCCTTCCAGAAGCTGAGAGGAGGGGCCAGAGGTCAGGGGCAGGATGTGGCCATCTCCTGGTAAACAGGGCAGGAAGTGGTACGAGGCAGCATCCAATGCTCCTGCCTAAATCAGACCTTTATCCAGAACCATGAGGACTGGAAACTTGGCAGCGCCTGGCTTTGATTCTGGGTCAGACAGGTTTGTCCGTCTGACCGAATGGTGTCCACTCTGACCTGCCGTGACTTCTCCAAACGCAGGATCTTTCCCACCACCGACTGCCTTGCCAATCCCTTCAGCCAGAAGGGTTCGGATCGGCGTGCGCTCTGCCACCCCAAGTTACAGCCCCTCTATTCGGAATTGTACGGCGGCTTTCTACAAAGCCTGCCTATCGCTCCATGGAGGCCTGGACTGTCCTTTCCTGGGAGCGGCAGCGTGGCAGGAACTTGGGGGGCAGCCCTTCCTGCACCAGCAACCCATCCAGCCCTGCGCCCCATCCTCCGTTTCTCCAGCGCGCGCTGCAGCCTTCCCCTCTTCTCGGTGACCCACATTCTGCCTGTGCCTGCTGGAACATCTCCATCTAAGCCCTCCCACCTTTCCCGAAGCCCTTGGCTGCCTGCTCCCTGAGCTTCTGCATCTCTTACAACCAAGGAGGGGAAAACACACTCTTCCCCCGTCCGCACCCTCACACTCAGCCAGCGCAAAACTAAAGCCCATCAACTCCCCTTTTCCTCTCCCCGGGGCTTTTCTGCGGAGGAACGGCCCCTGCGACGCTAACGCGGAGAGACAGTGCTGCTCGCTCCATCGAGTGCCGACCTCCAGCCAGCGGATCGGGCACGACAGCCGCCACAGCCTTCTGGGGGGCGGGAAGGGAAGGCTTCAGATCGCTCCTGCCCGCACGCCCCGGCCCCGGCCCCTCTCCCTCGCATTTAAAGCGGAACATGGAGACGTCTGGCAGCCCCTCCTGGCACCCAGCGCTTTCCAGATGCGCCGGACAACAACGTCCATCGCCCCCAGCCGGCAGAGCTGTCGGTGGAGATGGGACTTGAGGTCCAGCTCGTCTGGAAGCGTCCAGTTTCGTGGGCCAGCAGATTCGATCCCGTCCCAGCCAAACCCAGCTCGGTCACGCAACAGATCTGGGACTCGGGGGCAGGCAGCTATCTTCCGGCCGCCTGGCACAGTTTGCCCCCTTTCGCCATCTTTTCCCTGTTCCGCTTTGCCTCCTTGACCACGCTCTCTCAAGAGGAGGCAGATTCCTCCTGCTCCCAAATTAGACCCAACGGTCTACTATTCTTCCAGTTGCCGTTCCGGTGGGCAACACCACCGCATCGAGCCTGGACCTTCCCCTCACAACTCCTGTAGCTTGGCGGAAGATCATTCTCTGCTCTCTTCTGCATCTGCGCACCTTCAGGCCCGCCGAGCGCTTCCTTCTACGTGCCGCGATGTTTACAGCCACCCTGCGAGGTAGCCTGGTGGTATTATCCCCATTTTGCAGATGAGGAAGGCACTGAGCCCGCTTGAGTGACTCACGGCCCGGGCAAATTCCGAAGTGGAGACTTCCGCAGCTGCCATGCTAGGCCTTAATCCTGCCAAACCGCAGAAGCTTCCGCCTTGCGAGGGTGCCAGAAATGGCATTCCCTTCCCCGCTTGCTCCTTCCGACTGGGGTGGGCTCAAGACGCCGCGATCTCCACCAGGAGGGCTGAGGAACCAGCCTTCGCTCCCCGACTGGCTTCGTCAAGCTCTCTTCCTCTCCCTTTTACCCTCACCTACATCAACCCTGCGAGGTAGGCGAGGCGGAGAGCCACGACCGCAGAGCCTTGTTCCATGAACGCGGTGCGTGACTCGGCTCGGGCAGGAGGAGCATAAACACTTTCGCAAGGAGAGTTAAAGGACGGGATTCACTTCCATGGGATGGCGTGACGGCCCCCGGGCGGGATGGCTTTCGAAGGGGCTTGAACCCATTCCTGGAGGAAGAGCCCCCAACCCAGTCACTGAGGCGGCATGCATGTTATGCCCGTGGCTGGGGAACATGGATGGGGGGGGTGCTGTGTAAACAGCAGGACTGGGTGGACCCCAGCTCCGATCCAGCCCCTCTTCTCTCAAGAACGTTGATGATAAAGCCACAAGGACGTCCACACGGTCTCTTTCTACATGAGCACGCATGGAAAGTCACTCTGCCCATGTTCTGTCCGAAGCACCATGTCCGTGTACTAGCTGTCACACCTCTAGGCAGACATCCCGTGCCGTCAGCACATGCATCTGGCTTCTCTCGCTCTCGTGCGCACGCCAGTACTTTCTGTCTGGATGCGCAGTCTCCAGCGAGACGACACTTGGTGCCGTCTTTCTGCACACTTCACACTCGTGGCCGGGAAAACTTGGAAGGCTCAGGTTGGCTGCTTTGCCTGCCGATGGGTCTGCGCTTGGCACCTCGCTGTCCCACCTCGCCTACCTTACAGGGACGTTGTGAGGGGAGGCGGCCGAAACGGCCACACGCTAGATTGCCCTGTGCCTGGAGCTGCACACCAGGACACGTGCTCGCCCTGGGCGGGTGTAGATGCCACACAACTTCCCTAACTGACACACACACTCTCTCTCTCTTTCCCCCGTACACTTTCGTAAAGGTCCCCGTTCCTTCAGCCCCAAATCGGAGCGTGACCCCCAAACAGACAGAGCCCGGGAAAGAAGCAGGACGGCCGGCCGCCCCGAGAAAATCGCACTCACCCGGCTGCATGCAGCCGCCCCGTCGCCTGCCGGGCTCCTTTTGGGGCCGCTGCGCTGCTCCGCTCTGCTCGCCCCTCCGCAAAGCGGCGCAGCGTCTCTAAAAATACTGCCCTGAGCTCACAGCCAGGCACTGCCCGACGGGGGCACGGCGCTGCTCGGGTTTCAGCCCCGGCATGAGCTCACCGCTTGGCCCCGGACGTGCCAAGTGGCTTGAGGGTGGCATGGAGGGAGGGGCCGGGGGCCGAGGACGGGCTGCCTCCGCTGCTCGGCAGGCGTGTCCCCCCAGCGGGCGATTCCTCTGTGGCTTTCCCATTTCAGGGCCCACCCAAGGCGCTGGCCGGCAGCGCCCAACGCTGCTGGTGGGGGTGATGGGGCCTGTAGTCCATCCGGGGGGGGCCACACGGAGGGGGAAAGCTGCTGTGAGCACTTGGGTCAGAGAAAAGATGTGGTGGCGATGGCCATTTTGGGGGGCTTCAGAAGGGGACTGGGCCAATGGCCGCTAGTCTTCGTGGCTGCGTGGCACCTCCGGTATCAGAGCCAGTGTGCCTGTGTGTACCAGTTGCTGGGGAACATGGGTGGGAAGGTGCTGCGGCACTCGGAGCCTGCTGGATGTGCTTCTCCACGACTCTGCCTGCGGAGCAGAAGCATTGGCCGCGGCTGCTTTGGGTTTGTGACTGGCTTGCAAAAGCAGGAGTCCAAAGCTCTTTTTGTCCCGAACACAAGCCCCACCACAGGCAGAGTCACTGGTTCACTCGCACGTCGAAGCTCGCCTCGCCTGGGACCTAGCAAGCCTCTCCGTTCCTCTTTCTGCCTCAGTCCTCCTATCTGCAAAATGGGCATAATGATGGTGGTTGGCCGTACAGGGCTGTTGTAAAGATGCTTGCAAAGATGGAGGTGAGCTTTTTGGGAAGCCCGGGACCGGACATTTCTCCAGGCAAAGCAGGTGCACACCTCACCAGCCCAACCCCAAGGCTTCGGCAAATGGGGCAGCATAGAAGCCTCCTAAATAAATAACCCCCCTCCCTTTGCTGGGGGCCAGCCCTCAATTGCATACCTCCCTCCCAGGCGCACAGAACCCCTTTCTCTTGCTGCCTTGCACGACCATGACAAAGTTCATGTAAGAGGAAAGGGCACTGCCTCCCAGGAGCCTACAATCGGAAACACAACCCAAGGCCAAGGAGGAACCGGCTATCCAGGAAGCAATAGGCCGTGGCAGCAGCTCTGTGTTTTAGAAGACCCCGAAGGCCCTGCTCTTCCAAAGTGGCTTTCCAACTGGGAGAAAGCAACGGGCTTCCTTCGCCTTCTTTCCCACCGGTCGTCTAGGACGAGCGCAGCTGATGCCAGGCGACCAGCCTCGACATTCCAGGGCCTTCCATACACCTGTTCCAGCAGCAACCCACTCGGCTGCACCCACCCAGGCAGCTGGCAAGACCCCGGAGGGCTCCAGCGCCGCATCTCCTTCACGGCAGCTGCGATTCTGCCTCCGCCGGGAGCAGAACGGGGAGCTGGATTCTCACACACAGACACACGGATGGCACGCGGCTCCCCCAAGAGCTGAGGCTGCTGGGAAAGGCAGAAGGGGGGCATCCTTGGCCGAGCCGGTCTTGGCCGGAAGCCATCCTCTTCCACTGGTCCACCTCCCAAGCATGTGTGAACAGCCCTTCTGAGATGGCCCTTAATGAAGGATGTGAGGATGGAGCCCGATCGCCTCTGGGGCCAACGAGGAGAGCAACCTCAGGCAGAAGGACACCGGTTCGGTGCTGCACGTCCCGCTCAAAGGAAGTTTAGATGTTCCACGAGGATTTGATCCTAAGCCTTCCTAGGCTGGACTGTCAACCTGCTTGGCCTGCCTGAAACCCGCTGGCTAGCATCATCCGGGGTTTTCAATATAGAAGTCTTTTCAATTCCAGCCTGCAGATGGCACGAAATGAACCCGGGACCTTTTGCAAAGCAGGTGAGCTACCCACTAGCTGAAGCCCTTCCTCAGAAATTCCCTACTTCTGGGTTCTATATTTCTTGCATTTTGTTCCAGTGCTTGATACTGAATTTTACTCTGCTTCAGTTACGGATTGCCAGGTTCCTATCTACTCCCTGGACTTGGCATTTCCTCATTTATTCCCTGGGATAATATAGGGGCATATATTACCTCTTCAAGTGTCCCACGGACCCTGTTCCCAATGTTTGTCTCATGCAGGAGACAATTCTGTACACAAGGAGTATATACATATCCCAAAGAACAGAACCAATATGGAATAACGGGCTTTGCAACTTTTGGTAATCTGCTTTACTCGGAAAAGCATTCAGCGCCTTTTATTGCTTTCGTACTTTCAAAAGTATTTGGCTCACGTGATCTTGCCAGACTTACAACAACCCCTGTTAGGTGGTTCAGTGTTGCTAGGCCCATTTTGTGGCATGGGAAGACCGAGGCAGAGAGACAAAGGCAGCTTTCAAGCTGAATTTTGATTTCTGTCTCTGGCTGTTAGCTCGTTCTTTGTTCCTTTGTGTCAGTCTGAAAAGTAGGTTGTGCACAATCATTTTTTAAAATTGTGCATATCTCTGACTTCGGACCATTTTTCATATGCTGCAGGACGTCTCAACACTATGTGGAAGCAGGTGTGCTTGTGAGGGGCAGTGTGATGTAGTGGTTAGAGTGCCAGACAGGGATTTAGGAGATCCAGGTTCTGGTCCCCACTCAGCCCCGGAGCTCACTGGATGAAGCTGGGGCAGAGACTAAGCTACCTCGCAGGGCTGTTGTGAGGATAAAATGGAGACTCCCGCAAGCTGCCTTGGTTTCCTTGCAGAAAGGAAGATGGACAGGATACAAAACCGAGTAACACAGAAAAGCTTTCCAGCACACTGTGTGTGTGTGTGTGTGTGCGTGCGTGCATGACTGCAGCTGGGGATCATGGGACATAGACCCCCACATCTGGGAAGCCCAGGCTGGAGGGAGGCTGGATTACGTACAGACACTGTGTGCTCATCTTATTTGTCAAGCCACCCTCCCGCGGACGCCTGGGGTCGGCTGCGTGTGCATCCTTGCTCGTTTCTGCACACGTGTGTTTGGCGCGAAGGAGCCAATCTCAGAGGCTGGGGGGGGGGGGACACGTGTAAACGTGTACATTCCCGCCGCGGCTTGCCCCCATCTCCATATAAAACCTGTTATTGGTGTCCCCATAACCGCCATGGCATCACTGACTTAAAATAACCCCAAATGTCATCTTTGCAGTCAGGAGACCTTAGGGTGCCCATAAAGGGGGAAGGGCTTCGCGATCGCTGAGCTCCGCGCTTCATCTCCTGTGTTGACGGTACCTGTGGTTGGGGCGGGGGGGGGCGGGAGTTTCCCCCCTCCCCCCCCGGGCACCCCCCCCCCCCCGGCCCCAGTGCCAGTGCCACCCCGGCGCTCCGCCTCGCCTCCTGCCTCCTACGCACCCCCGAAAGAGGATCTGTCACAACAAGCCGAGGCGACAGCCACCACAAACGCACACCCACTCGATCGCTACCTTGCGCGGAGTGGGGGGGGGGGCGGGCGAGATCTGGCCTCTCCCCGCCGCGCGGTGCCCCCGTCCTCCTGTCGCCGGCCAGGTTTGCCCCTCGAGCCCCGGAGCACCGGCCCCGGCTCCCGCGTACGAAGCCCGTCCGCTCGCCCGGCGAGACGCGCGCGCACCCTCCGCCCCCGGACCCGGAGAAGCCCCCTGCGCTGCGGGGCATCTCCCCGCCGAGGCCCCCGGAGGGCGCCCTTCCCCCGCGCCCCGAGGAGGAGCTGACGGGGCGCTTGCAAAGGCGGCGCCGCCGCCGCCGAGCCGGGCACCCACCTGCATCACCCCGAGAGGCGGCAGTCCGTCCGTCCGGTGGTCGGGGCGCCTCGGCCGGGCTGAGTCGCGGCGTGCGGGGGGGGCGCGGAGCGACGCTGGCCCGGGCGCGGGCGCCCCGCTGTGCTCGGCGCTGCCCCTTTGTTGCCGCTGCGAGGAGGGCGCGCGCCCGGCCGGGCTGTTCCTTCCGCGCGCTCGGCTCCGCCGCCGGAGCGCAGCTTTTGATGCGCGCCCGGGAGGGAGACGGAGGGAGGGAGGGGCGGGCGGGCGAGGGTTGTAGGGTGACATCATCGGCGGCCAATCGCGCGCCGGCCCGGCTCTTCCCGGGGAAGGTGACGCGGGCGGCGCACGTGACCCGCCCGGCCGCCCCGTTCATTGTGAGCGGCGAGGGGCCCTGCGCGCGCCCGCCGTGGCTTCGCAAATGCAGCAGCGTTAAGGACAGCAGTCGTTTCATACGACTCATAGTCTCAGGCCGCCCCGGTAGCCCACCTTTTTGCCTCCTGTGAGGAACCCGAAGGGGCTTGCAGGGTTCTCCTGCTCCCCATTTTATCCTCACAACAACAACCCTGTGAGGTAGGTTAGACGGAGAGGCCGTGAGCAGCCCAGAGACATCCAGGGAGCTTCGTGGCCAAGTGGGGAATCGAACCTGGATCTCCACAGTCCCGATCTGACACTCTGGCTCTCAAATATTACTGCTTTTAATTTATTATTATAGCTATATCCCACCGTTTGTTTTGCTCTAAGGAACCCAAGGTGGCTTCTATAATTCTCCTCCCAGTTTTATCCTTACAACAACCTTGTGAGGTAGGTTAGCTAAGAATGAGGGACTGGCCCAAAGGCACCCAGTGAACTGCATAGCCAAGTTGGGGTGGGGGGTGATCTTGAAGCTGAAGTGGGAATGCTGGGAACTGTAGGACTTCTTTCCACCTGCGCTTTCAAAGACTGTGCTCTGAGAAGCTTCCTGTTTTCTTTGCATGCCAATAAAAGTGTCGACTTTTGCAAGAGAAGCAAGACCAGGACAAGTGCCCAAGGTCACATCACAAGTAAACAAAGCCACGCGCATTAGGAATCTGGGCTGCACTCACTTCATTATCCCCAAAACCAGCCAGGGTTTTCATTCCCTTGATCAAGGAAGCCCCCTTTCAAAATCCCCTGTGAATTTGTCCAGTCTCCTTTCAGAGCCACTCAGATTGGCAGGAGACAATGCATCTTGTGGCAGGGGATTCCACAGGCTAACTGCCTCGGATCAAGAGATCCTCCCCTTCATTGTCCCGAATCTCCCCCTCACCAGCTTCCTGGGTGACCCTTTCAGGTCGGGAGGGCCTTCCCCTTCCAAGCACACCTGCCCAGGACACCTGTGAGCCATCCTGCCACAAAAGGACATGCAGAACTCAGACAGAGCAACGGCAGCCGATTTCCTTCCGGCTGCTGGTAGGAAGCATGCAGGCAGGGTGTGGACGCCACGACACCCTCCCACCCATCTTCCCCAGCATCTGCCACACGGTCTCTGATGCTGGAGGCAATTTATAGCAACATGACCAGCAGCCGTGGCCCGACTTCTCCTCCCGGTCGCCGTGGTGCCGTGCACAAGGCGGACTCAAGTGCCGCAGCGGCTGAACCATACGTGTGTGAAAATCGGCCTGGATCTTCCACCCATCAGCTTCACGGGATGACGACCCAGCCGGGTCTGGCATTGAGGGAGAGGGAGAAGAAAGCCTGTCCTTCCACGTTCCCCTCCTCAGCGGTCGTCTTGGGCCCTTCCATCCCGGCTGCCCTCACCTGCCTCCTCCCTCCGGGGTTGGCAGTTCCCACTGCTGCCCGGCTTCCTCCCAGGGGGGCTGCTGCAGCCCCTGGGCCATCTGGGCTGCCCCCTTTGCTCTCCTTCACACCCTGGAAGGGGCTTCTCGGATCTCGGCGGCAGCCTCTCCCGCCGGCCTGCCCGCGCTCCCGGTTCCCCCCGGCACGAGCGACTGCCTTCCGCGCATCTGTTCTGCCTGAATGCTGATGCCATCAAATAGCTCCCCCCGCTCGCCACGCTGACAGAGAAACCACCACATGGGTGCTGATGCCACAGGTAGCAATCTGCCACTCTTGCACATTTCCTGCCGCACTGGCGGCCCCGTTCACGTTCGGGCAAATATTTGCCCACTAATTTAAACTTCCTTTTAACAAGGGAGGAAATGTTTGTCTGAAAGCTGGATTTTCGCTTTGGTTTTTTTTCAGGTTTTCATCCTTGTGATTCAAATCTCTGAGCAACACATCAAAAACCTCCTGGAATGTGACCTGATTCGATCATATGGCAAAACCCAAAACACGAACTAAAAGAGCAGATAAGAGCAGCAAAAATATTATCAATAAGCAGTGACATTAATGAACCGAATTTTGACGTGACACATGAATGCAGAGAAGATCGCAAATGTTTCCCACCTTATCGCCACCTCTAGCCAATTATACAAGTCAGATGCAACCTTAAATTTAATTGTGCCATGCATACAATTAACACAGGGCCAAAACACTTTTAATCCTTCAGATCTAGTCTGCACAGCTGAACATTTATATTAAAAGTTATTCACACTTCAATAGACTTACACACACGCTTGAACTTTTTTGGATCTTCTGACCACTTCATATTGATTTTATAAGTTTGCATCACTTCCTCTGACGTGACATGTTATCATACTGGTTTAGTAATGCAATCAAGCAAATGAGATTGCATTGCGGAGTTGGTTCATTAGTTCGATCAATTAGATTTGAAACCATTCCGCCAGCTTAAATCTTACATACATTCAGCCCAGCCTCCCTGGAAGGTTGCTTTTCCAAGTGCTTGTACATTTTTACACAGCAACACCAAAGCATTCAGTCTCCTCCCCGTGACCTGGAATAAAACAGTCCGGGCAGCATTTTAACACATTTATAAATTGTGCCCGAACCGGTCTACCATGACGACACCTCGAAAGAACAGAACAAGCGCTTTTAGACACGTGCAGAACAATTAAACAGCCGTTCCTTGACTGGGAGCCCTCCCAGAATGGAGTGCAATTCCCATCTTCCCCAGCTAAAAGAGGGGGAGAGGAATCAGCCGGAGGGGCCCCCATGCGGGTTTTAAATACTTTCCTTGTCTTGGCTGGGGCAGCTTTAGCCTAGCTTTGCTCACAAGGTGACTCACCCCAGCAGCCGCCCATCGTCAAATGAGTGTGCCGGCTGGTCACCAGGGCTGTTTGTATCATCCCAGGTGTGTGTCACACCATTGTCACACTGCCCTTTGGCCTGGCACTTGTGTACATCTCCCCCCAAAGCACTGTCTGGCCGCCGCTGCTACTGCTGCCTTGGAAAATGAGGTCATTTTAGATTCGAGGCTTTGTGGTCTGATCCAGGGTGGGGACTTGAACATACCTCACTTATTACAAAGGATCTTTCAGAGCACCCGAGTCAGAGGAGAGCTCTTGCCATCTACACATTCTACGAGCCTTCCTCCCGCGTCGGCTGAGCGGGGTGCTTGCGCTCTGCCCCAAAGCCCTACCGTCTTGGTGCCCCTGCCCAGGAATTCACCCCTCCTTTCCCAGCTTTGGCTTCCTCATAAAAAGAGTCCTGCCAGACAGGGGCAAAAGCATCCCCACCAGCCCCCATCTGCTTCGGCTGCCAACACCTGGTGTAAAGACAGACAAAGCTGGAGCATCTGCCAAACACCCATAAGCAGCCGTCTCCCCACATCTTCCTGCATCATTCTTAGCTCCACACACTAATTCCACCCGTGCGTTCCGCATCGGGGACCTCAAGTGCTGGTTTCAGGGGGTGGGGGAGTTCTCCCATTTTCTCACCAAACTGTGTATTCTTCAGTAATCTCTGTCTACTCGCTTCTCTTCGCTAGCTGTCTTCTCCTCATCAGGCCCCCCTTGGCTCAAAAGCCTCCCGCATTCTTTCCCTCAAGTCCCTCCTTCTCTCAGCCACCCTCTTCTGAGACTTTGCCCCCTGTTCTGTGGGCCCCTGGGCACTGCAGCGAGCAGAGCCACGTGGCCTTTCGACCATCGGTGTGTGTAAGACACTCCAAAATTGGCAGTTTGGGAATCTAGGTGTTGCAGTTGTCGCCTTCCTCACACACGCACACAGCCACATCGAGAGAGAGAGAGAGAGAGAGAGAGAGAAATCCCCTTTGCACAGGGCCAATTGGCTCCAGGAATTCCTGCTTCTGGAGAGCAAGGATGTAGGCAAAGGGAAAATCCCAGCCCAGATCTCTTCCCAGCACAGATTCGTCACTGCCACCGTCCAGCCGAGTCACAACGTGCTTAAGAGGCATCGGGACCAAATTTATTTATTTATTGCAGCCGTCTCTGCAATTCGGAAATGTCGTGTATTTCCCCCCTTCCCACGGCACGTCCACGTTTTCCAGTATTGCCCTTTGTGTTTTTAAAACAATTCCTCTCACCAGTCCTGATTCATAAGCCGCTCAGAGGATATTTGTTGACATCCAGCCACGGAAATTTAATAAATCACATTGCTCTCGTGCGCACACATAAAAAGAGGAGATGGGAGTGGCTGATACTTTGTGGGACTGGTCGCGGTTTCGTCCTTCCAGATGAGCTGGTTTAGCCATGCACAACCCTCTGATTTCATGCTTTCACACCCTCTCTCTGCCACACACACAGTCCTTACAAGACGTTTTATCTCTAAGGTCTTTCGTCAAGGGAGTGGGTTTGAAAACCAGAAAGGCTGTGGAAAAATCTGTTTTTCCTGGAAAAGCACGTATTGGCCCAACTATTGTGAAGACTCCAGCTCTGCTAAGAGGGCAAACAGGATTCGGCGGGGACTGACAGGTGATGCCGGCACACCTGCTCATTAAAAGGCCCTGTCACTGCATCCCGGCGAGACCTGCACCACTACGTCACAAGGCCAGCCGGGCCAAAGGTGCCAGTGTGGTGTCGTGGTTAAGAGCCTGGGACTGGGACTCAGACGACCTGGGTTCTAGTCCCCGCTCAGCCATGGAGCCAACTGGGTGACTTTGGGCCAGTCACAGACTCTCAGCCCAACCTACCTCACAGGGTTCTTGTTGTGGGGTAAGATGGAGGAGAAGAATGATGTAAGCTGCCTTGAGCCCTTTGTAGGAAAAAGGCAGGATACAAATCGGAAAAAAAAAAAAAATTTCCACATCCGCGAC